ACCAGACAGTCCTGCTTCTCCCGTTTGAGTCTGTGCCCCTAAAGCCTCTCCCGGATCTGGAGCTCAGAGTCTGCGACTCCCTCCCGATTGAAAACGCCAACCGCGCACTCCGCACCTCAGAATTTGCCTTCAGCACTGCGCCTCCTCTGAGTGTCCGAATGCGTTACTCTTTCCTCCTAGTTGTAGGACTTCCACTCAGCCACCGTTCCTGTGGTTCTGGATGATGTCCCTTCCGTCTTTTAGTTTCACTTTTGAAATGGTTGTTCGAGGCGGCAAACTCCGGCGTTAACCTATGCCGCCATCTTGGTTCCTCCCTCTTCTTCTTCTTTCATTTGGGGTTGTCTGTTTGTCTCCCCATTTTGGCTGCCCGTTTGGGTTTGTGTCTATGTATTAGATAGATCTGCTATAATTCCCAATCTGTAGTGCAGGAGACAATGTCAGATGCTGTTTCTGACTAGCCCTGAGTCCCTTGTTTGGAGCTGTCAGCAATCCACAGCTTGTGGCTCCCTCTGCTGGGGCTGGATGCCTTTGGAAAGGACCAAATTGTGTGCCAGGCTTTGCTTTTCCTACCCTCCCCTTCCCCCAAGAAGGAGATCTGCCAAAGACTCAAAGCTTCTGGAGCTCCACCTCTACCTGCAGTCCAGTTGTTATTCTCAGAATCTTAATTTGTCTTAGGCTATAGACCACAGAGTCTTTCAGCAGGGTGGGGTAACTCCCTTCTCTCCATGAAAAAACATGAATAGCAAAGATCTGCAAAGAAATAAGTCCTCCACAGTGTGAGGTAATGACTCAGTATAGGAAACCAGGTCACTGCCCTCTGAGCTCCAACCCCAGATCCCCCAACCCTGGACTCTCCTCACAGAACTCCAGTCCACTTTGCCCTCCCTCTGTCAGAGCCCAAGGTGAGTGGCTACACATGAAATTTTTGTGCATTTGCCATTTAGCAGGGTGCCTGCACCTGCATTTCCACCTGTCTCTTGCGGCAAATATCAACCCTGTTGTTTTTCACAGCCAGATGTTTTGTAGGCACCTTTCTCAGTTCTGGTACTCTGGGCTGGGGAGCCCAGCTTGGGATTTAGACCCCAGAGTTCTCAGTGAGACCTCCCCCCCAAATATGAGATATGTCTCTGGACCTTCAGTTGCTGTCTGTGGGAGCCAGGCCATCCCTTTTGTGCCTCTGCACTTCCTACCAGTCTCTATGTGGTTTCCACATTCCCTCCTTGGTTTTCCAGGTTCTCTCCAGCTAGTCTTCAGTTGATTTTCCTGGTGTGTTTTTCTGTATTTTAGTTATATTTCCACTTTGGTTCTGGGAGAGTGTCAGTGTAGTTTCCACTTACTCCACCACCATTTTTATGTGTACATATACAAATCGTTCCTTTACTTCCAGCAGTGGAGTTTGTGGTTCACAGGGTATTTAGAATTACAGTGTTTAAATGATGTTTCATGTAATTCTAAATTTGGATCAACCTAGTGTCCATTTTTTCCATGACCTTGCTATTTTTTCTAAAATCCTCACCCAAGAATATTTTTTCTATTGATTTATAGAGAGAATGGAAGGGAGAGAGAAGAGAGATATGGTAGGGAGGAGAGAGGGAGGGAGGGAAGAAGAGGGAAGGAGAGAGTGAGAGAGAAACATTGATGTGAAAAAGACACATTGATAGTTTACCTCCTGCATGCACCCCCAACAGGGCTGGGGAACCTGCAACCAAGGTACATGCCCTTGATTAAGAATTGAACCCATGACCCTTTGGTCCACTGGCCAACCCCCTAACCACTGAGCCAAACCAGCCAGGCTACCGTGACCTTGCTATGGGGCATCATCAGACTTTTATATTTCCCAATTCAGTTACTGTAAAAAGGTATTTTTTTTGGGGGGGGGTGCTTTAATACATATCATCATAATTAGTAGTGAAGTTTAGTATATTTTGAAAAGTTATTTCTATTTATAGTTAATTGTTCTTGCTTCGATTTCTCTCAATAAAGTGGAAATGTTAGCCTTCAGAGGCAAAAATCAAAGTGAAAAAGATGGCTTTTTAGTTAGAGAAATGTGGATTCAAAACAAAACAATGCTCTTGCATCTAATAATTGAAATTGGGCAAATGATTTGACTCCTGAGCATCAGTTTTATATTGAAAGGAGAGAACTACATTTGCAGATCAGTACTGAGGATCAACAAGTGATGTGTATAAAGCATCCATCACATCAAAGTTCTCAATGCCTGTTTGTTTTTTACCAACTGCAGCTGTCATGAATCTCCTTCCTAGTTTAGATACTGGAAGAGAGGGAGTGGCAAAGGATGTCATGCTATGAGAGGTCCTAACTGGGAAACAGAATAGTGAGTTCCCTGGCTGGGGAAAGGCTAGTACAGCTTTACAGTGGCAGGAGCTGCCAGGCTCAATCTGTGTGGATGTTATTTTTTGTGTTTATGAAGTTCAGGCAGAATCCCGGTGCCTCAAAAGAGGTTCTCCTTGGTTGGTGTGGCCCTTTCTTGGCTCTGAAAAGTTGTACTAGAAGCAGGAGGAATTGCTCAGAACATGTTTGAATAATCTAATGTCAGGACCACATTGTCAGATGGCGAACTAGTCAGAATTCCTGAAGAAATATCTGGTCTTCTACACCAAGTCCAGTGTTGTTCATTGGGTTTCTTCAGGGCTTGGATTTCTTCAGACTCCCTTAACTCTCTTCCAGTTTGTGTGGGTATGGGATCAGTATGGGTGTAGTGGTGCAAAATAGGTAGGAAGCAGGAGTGGAAGAAAAAAAAAGCTCAGATTAACATAAGTAATTTTGGGAGCTCCGAGACACATCTGGTTTCCTGGCTTCTTTTTCTTCTTCCAGATCTGGTTTATATGGACTTGGCAGTTTTCCAGCAGAAATCTTGAGAAGCACTAACCAGTTCAAAACCATGGCCTTTGTAAGTTGATGTTTCTTTCTCTCTTTC